CACACTGCAAGGTGGAGCCAATTCGCCCTCACCTTGCTTAGAGACCAGCTTCAGCAACAAGTGAAGCTCATTTCTAATGACTAGAATGAGATGGAAGTGATGGGGCAAGAACCAGTCTGGGATTTTCTTTTCCTGACAGAAGGAATTCTGATAAAATTGCTACATTCTGATTAATGAAAAAATTATGTTTTAAAATGTGTCCACTCACAGATGCATAATGAAGAGTCCCATGCCCCCTTCCAAAAAAAAGGAATATAAAGGGTCAAGTAATGTTTCTCTCCTCTCCAGTCTCCTCAGACAGTAAAGACCAAAGCCCAGAAAAATACAGTATCTTCTTTGAAATCACCAGGAAAGCTGGGGAGGGAACCAGATGCTGAATTCACATGCCCCAGTCTTGGTATTTCCCATAACACCATAATCCCAACATTGACCCTCCAGCTGTATTACAAATGTACCTTTGAGATTATTCAAAAGTTAAAGGAAGAATCCACCATAAGATCACAAGAGGACAGAAATTAAACAAAGGAAGAACCATACCATAATCCCCACTCAGAAGCGCTCAGGGCAAATCCCTGTATGCATTCAAATATTTTGACACGTGGCAGGGAACCAAGTTCTGAGCCTAGCAATTGTAAAACCTCCACTTTTCTAGGATCAGTGAAATCCACTACATGTTTAAAAGTGCAAAGCAGTTAATTCACACAGTGATTAAAACCCCTAAACTTTGCAGAGTGAACCAAGCAGATGCCAAATCAGTTCGAAACACATTTTAATTCTAATTTTAGGCTACCAATTGAATCATTGTGTAAGATTTGATGCCACTTAACCTTTCTGGGTCTCAATTCTTTCATCAGATAAATTAATATCCCCAAAGCAGTGCAAGGTTATAATTAATGAAATAACAGATCCAAGAAGGAATTTAAAAACACATAAACCTTTTTACAATTGACTGATGGAGGTAGATGCCCTGGTGTCTGAAACGAACGCAGAACAAAAATAAATGCAGAATGACAAAGCAAAGAGTTGTTCTAGAGAAAGAGATGTAGAAGGAAACCGACTGTTAGGATGGCTATGGGACATTTCTAACAGTCTGAAAACTGGCAGGGAGTTTAAATATCAGAACTAAAGGGAGACGTGTCAGGCCCCGTGCCTGGCAGGGGATTCCAAGATGAAGGGGCTCATGGCCTAATAAGGAGACTAATGGGCAACTGGTGTGAAATGGAGGAAAAAGGGCAAAAAGAGAAAGGTATACAAGGCAGCCTGTAGGAGCTACTGACGAATTCTTTCTTGAAAGGTGGCAATGGGAGATGTTTTCCTGAGAGGCAATGAGAGCTGAGCTGGGTTTTGATGCAGATAATGGATATGGTATATAATAAAGACCTATTAAATATTTTTAAATAAATTAAAGAAAGGCATTTCCCACAGAAGTATCACCAAGGGCAACAGCATGGCTGGGTGGAATGTGGCATTTCCAGGAAATGGTATTGCTCAATAGACAATTATTTCTTGAAGGGTCAGGTCACCACAGGTGAGGCTAGAGATGAATGCAAAAGCTGGATCTCTGAGAACTTGCGTGGCACAAGATTTTCACTGTGTCCTGTTAGATTTTGGAAGCCGGGGAAATTTGAAAACAATGCAAAAGGACTTTCCGGGTAAAGGGACTATGATGAGTGTGGTTTGTGCTATGCAGATCCCATTTTAAGGAAGAACTTGTTGCCTCACCTGCTAGGAGTGCTGGAGCAGAAAGCCCTCAGCTCGCCTGCCCCAGTTTCGGAGCTGCCTCGTCCACAGGTATGCCGTATGCCCTTCTGGGTGACGGAGGCAGGGGATACAGGCCCAGCCATGTCAGCCCACACTGGGGGAACTCACACAAGCCCACTGAGGTCCAGAGATCCCCGTGGGGTTGGCTGAGGCTGCCGTCAGAACTGACCTCCATCGCAGTTCAACTTCTCTTTCAGTCCTTTCTGGGCGGAAGCAGGAAGACTATAGGGGTGGGGCGGGGCAGCAGCGGAAGAGAGGGAATCTGGGGCAGAAATCCAGCCCATCCCCCCACCCCTGTGGCTCTGACTTTCAGAATTCTTTGGTGGCAGCTAATGGCTTGGAACAAATGCAGTATAGCTAAAGGAGCCCTAGTCTCAGGATAAAAAGGAGCTCAAGGCCAGTTTCTGTTACGGGTCTGAGCCAAGCCACACACTTCTCTAAGGTAGTTTCTTCATCACCAAAAGCGGGAGAACAACGCCAACATCCTAGATTTAGTGGTGGGGCTGGGCAAATACATGACATGACATGGGAAAGTGCTTTATAAACTGTGTATACAATAGTGGGTATGAATATTAAAACAATAGACAATTGTTTCTGCCCTTGGCTATATTGTTGCTACCTTATAATTTATGGGGTGTAAGGTTTATGCTGAGAAGCAGAGGAGCTCCGTGAAAGGGTTATACCGCCACCTAGTAAACACAGGGAGAACTGCAGTTGGATCTCATGCATGTCCCAAGGATGTGGAAACTTTAAAATCCTAAGCCCCTATCAGCTGAATGGACGCCCTCTTGGCAAAGTGAACCCCAGAAATACCTTACAACTGAATTCCCAGCCATAACGGGATGGAAAGGCAGACATGCCTCGTTATGCCCCCTCCCTTTTAGAGTTTAAACACAACTGACCAGCATTAATGTTAAAACGGGGATCATAAGACTGACAGAGGAGACTTTTCACGGCAATAAGATACCAAATTATAAACGGGACCTAAGACCATGCCAGGCAAGGGTTAAGTCACACACTTCTGCACTTAAAACATCAATTGTATTCTAACTACCGCAAGGTTTCCCTTTTTCTCTAGCAGCTAAACCACCACCAGCCTCCAAATAAACAGCATTAAAACAATTACAACCAGCTCACAGAGGCTGTCTCACTGGGCCCTGTTCCACTAACCATAAACAGCTTCGATTGGGCAACAGGCTGATTTCAGTAACTTTCTCATGATTAGAATACCACCAGCATGAACTGGTTCTTGCTGTTTTACAGAGACTGCACACCTGTGTGCCTTCATGTCCTGAAAAGACCTTTTGACATATAGAGGCTAGATGTAATACATTTCATCTATTCATTTCAAAGTGAACGTAAGTCATAAGTTACATGTAGGTTTGTCCAACATGCCTGTGTTGGGACCGCTTTCTTGAATATTCACAGCTCCTCCTGTAACTTATTGAACATGTATGTTTAGCCAACCTGTTCAGCATAAAACTCCTACCTCAAACCCTCCTCCTTCGAAACGCCTGTCTCTGGTCTTGGCTAGAGGCAGGCTTCCCAACCTGTGGGACAGCCACCTTGCAGGCTATGACCTTTTATAAGAATTAAAGCCTCCTACCTTCTGTATTTATAAATTATGTTTTTTCTTAAGTTAACAAATGGGGACAATCAACATACTTGAATGTCTCTTCCCAATGATCCTCTTATTACTGAACCTTTGCCTTGGTGTTCCCACCTCCTGGACATCGGAAGGGAAGAGTGGGAATAAGAAGTAGAAAATAAATCACAGTTCAAATCAAATACCATCCTCAGGATCGATCAGTTTGGCCGTTTTATGCTGAGGCAGCTGAGATAATGCCTAAAAGAGAGAACTGCATATAGCCATTCAAATGAGGAGCAGCTCTGTGGCAGGATGGAGCATCTGCCATTTAATTCCCATCAAAAATCAGTTACATGTACTGTGTTAAGAAAGAATAGAAGATAGTATAGTCATTCATTAGAAAAAGCCTGGATTATATCCAAATGGTTACCTTTTGATAGGTGATCTTTATTTTTTCCATGTGCATTTCTGTGTCTTACAGATTTGCTACCATGAACACAGTCATCCTTTGTGATCATATTAAAATGATTGTTGTAAAAATAGAACTTAAAATGTGCCTCTTTGAACATTTTGTATAAAGCTGGTTCCATTCCACCTGCTATGTCACCAGACTGTGTGGAGGAACACACAGATTATAGCAATCACAGCTATGGAACCAGGAACTTGCCAGAGAGCAACTCCACCCTGTGTCCCTGGGGGACGACCAGCTGCTTGTGATCTGTTATGGACTGAACATTTGTGTTTCTCCAGAATTCATATAATCCCCTAATGTGACTATATTTGTATTTGGGTACTTAGGAGGTAATTGAAGTTACATGAGGTCATAAGAATGTTACCTAGTCCAGTAAGAGTGGTATGCTTAGCAGAGAGAGACACCGGAGCCAGGTGCAGTGGCTCAGACCTGTAGTCCTAGCTACTCAGGAGACTGAGGCAGAGGATCATTTAAGCCCAAGACCTTGAGGCTAGCCAAGGCAATATTGATATAGTGAAACCCTGTCTCAAATTAAAAAAAAAAGAAGAAGAAGAAGACACCAGAGAGCTTGGGTCTTCTCCCTCTCGCTCTCTTTATGAGCATGCACCAAGGAAAAGCCATGTGAGGACCCAATGGGAAGGTCATCATCTGCAAGCCAGGAAGAACATAGCGCCCTCAGTGCTGTGATCTTGAACTTCTAGCCTCCAGAACTGTGAGAAATAAATTTCTGTGGTTTAAGCCCGTGGTATTTTGCTATGGCAGCCCCAGCTGACTAATGCATGATCTTACAGAGGACCCAAGTCAGGCATCCTCGATGCTCCACAGCTCTCCTCCACACAGTTCCCAATTCTGCTTGGAAGCTGGTTAGAGGCCCAGAGAATCAAGCCATGAGGCAGAGGAAGATCGATCACACACACACACACACACACACACACACACAACACAATTATCCTTAACAACACCTGTGCTGAAAAATGTTTCCTCCATGGTGAATGTCAGCCTTTCATTTCACTTTTCATTAACAATGTCAGCCTTAATTGTGTTGAAGGACAGAGATCACAATAATGGATGTCAAAGGATTGGCCTCTTGAAAAAATCACTGCTGTCTCTTCATCAACCACTATGTCACAAAGTATAGCACAGACTGCAGTGAGCAAGAATCACACAGAGTCTCGTGCCTGATGATTGAATGCCTTTATTTGTCTATAATAAGTAGTAAGGATGAAGTTCATTCACATTAGATGTCCCTTTTTACATGCCCTCTCTTTGACTAATATTTCCCTCTTCTCTGGTGGTAAAAAACAAACCAAGTTTCCATTCATTTCTGAATTAGGTTTTTCTCACTGCTTATACTGAATGTTCTTTTACTACATAGCACCCCAAAATTTTAAAATAATATTATAGGTCAAGTTCAAGTTTCTTTTTCATTCCGTTCTAATTCATTTAAATATCTTTCAGTTACTTTTTTAACTATTAGAATTCAGTCCTCAAGTCACAAATCATCTGGCCCAAGTCGATGCTGGCAGGAAAACATTCAGGGGTTGAGAAATCTGATGTCCAAGGTCCTGCAGTGGGCTCTGCGTCGCTTCTGAGCGGTGCAGTCCTGCCTCAGCCAGGGCAATCCCTATTTCATCAGCATTAAAAGCCCTGCCTTTACCAGTAACAGGGCCCTGCCTGTACCATTACTGTGTTGGGACACACTGAGCCTCACATTCTTCTTTGGTTTCAAACCGGTTGGCATTGCCCCCACAGCTTCCATACCAGAACTGCTGGCAAACCCGCTCCTCCTTGTTGTAATACCACTTCAGGGTGTAATCCTGGCACTCACCTTGCACTGGATCCATGGAACAAGGATCTGCAACAAAATGAATAGAGAGAGAGCTGAATTTCCTGCATGACAGTGACAGAAAAAGAGCAAGGGTTTGGAGTCACAGACCTGGGAATGAATCTCAGCCTCACCACCATCTATTCTGTGACCTTGAGCAAGTAATTTAACCCCTGAGAGCCTCAATTTCCTCAATTATAAAAGCAATATTTTTAAAAACTCAGTAGAGTAAGAAATTGATCATGGAAATTGTCCCATACCTTGAGTAGGCATGTTTGAATTTGCTCACTGCGTGACCCCTACTCTGGAGGGTAGAAGATAACAAGCAGCACAGGCCCAGGAGAAGTAAGAAATACTTCTTCAAAACTTGTTGTCGTCAACAGAAAAACACTCCAATGTTGAGCTCTTTGTTGTACCGTCTAGAGCCAACAAATAGACTCAGGGCTTAGTTATCAGCTGGCCCCATCCTCTGCCATTACAACTGATTCTGAACTGACAAACCAAGAACTCATTCGAACATATCAATCACTTTTCCTAGGGACACTGTGTCATCTGTAGAACATCCACCCTTGCTTTGGGTCTGGGAGACAATCAAACAGGGACTGATCTTCCTAAATTAGACTTCTAGAGCAGCACTGTCTATAACAATGAAAATATTTGAAATAATGGAAGATCTGTGCTGTCCAATACCATAGCTGCCACTCCCATGTGGCTGTTGAGCATTTGAAATGTGGCTAATGCAATCAAGGAGCTGAAATTTTAATGTTAATTTTGAATTGTTTACATTTAAATGTGAATAGCCAATGTGGGTAGCAGTTACTATATTGGTCAGTACAGGTATAGGTGAGTGAGTCCTTCATGCTTTATGCTAATTATCTCTAAGTTATCCTTGTAGTTTAACACTCAGAATACCACTAGTCTTCATTTTTCTTTTACCAGTATGTTATGGCATTGAAGGCCAACAAATTTTTACCCAAGCAATTATTACTGGCCCCCAGTCTTACACTTGGCTTTATTTTTTTACCATAAATATTAACCTTTGCCTTCTTGGAAGAACTATGCTGTGGCAGTAACAGTTTGACTCACAATAGTCCATGGAATCCAGGAATAAGGAATGGTAAAGGTGGAGAAAAAGAATAGAGCTAGCAGGTATAAAGAGCAGCTAGAGTGAAATTATAATTTTGCTTCCACTTATTCTGTTTCCTGGCATATATGTCTTATAATAAAGCCCTTCTTGGAGGAGAAAACCAAAAAGATTTGTCTGTGCTCTGGATGTAACAGTGAAATTGAAAATATACCAAGATCAGCCTGGCACTGTGAAGAGAAATAACTCATTTAATTCTTTGCAGGTAGGTGCAATGAAACGTAGCAGGTGCTATGGCAGAATCTGGCTTAAGATTCAGGAACACAAAGGAGGCTGTGAAAATCTAAAACTACTGTGGGCATAGAACAAACTCTAAGGAGAGGTGAAACTTGAGCTGAGTAGTAAAAGAAGAGTAGATACAGACCAAGTGGACACTTTGGAGGAAGTATAGGCAGGCGAGGGTAAACAGTGGTATGGAGATTTGGAATAAATCACAGGGCATAAGGGGCACAAAAGGCATACGCAGGGAAGTGTCAGGCAGTAAAGCCCCAGGGAACCAAGGCAGGCCTCTAATTGTAAAGGCCTGTGTGCCTTCCACAGGCACCTGAACATTATCTTAGAAACAATGGGGAACCATAGAAGAGAAGTGACACAACCATAGTTGTGTTTTAGAAACGTCCGTCAGCTGTTTAGAATGGAATTGGAAGGAGGACAGACTGGAAGAAAAGAAACGAGTTAGAGAGCAGCAGGTGAGGGAAACGAGGACAACTAGAATAATATTGGGCAATCAGGCACTTTCTGAAAGAAGACATCTAAGCAGCCAACAAATGCAAAAAAATACTCAACATCGTTAATCATCAGAGAAATGCAAATTAAAACCACAAGATAGCATTTAGAGTAGTCAGAATGACTATTATTAAAAAGTCAAAAAACAACAGATGTTGGTGAGAATGTGGAGAAATGGAACACTCCTGGTGGGAATGTAAATTAGTACAATTGCTACGGAAAACAGTTTGGAGAATTCTCAGAGAACAAAAAATAGAACTACTCTTCAATCCAGCATCCCCACTGCTGAGTATCTGCCCAAAGGAAAAGAAATTATTGTATGAAAAAGACACCTACATCCATATGGGCGTAGGAGTACTATTCACAACGGCAAAGTCATGGAATCAACCTAAATGCTCACCAACGAATTATTGGCTTAAAAATGTGGTATATATATCATGGAATACTGCTCAATCATAAAAAAGAATGAAATCACGTCTTCTTCAGCAACATGGATGGAACTGGAGGACACTATCCCAAGTGAAATGATACAGAAATAAAATGTCAACAACTGCATGTTCTCACTTATATGTAGGAGATAAACGATTGGTATATGTGGACATACGGAGTGGAATAATAGACATTGCAGACTCCAAACGGTGGGAGGGTGGGGGCAGGGTGTATAGGGTGAGATACTATCTTCTGGGTACAATGGACACTGTTTGGGTAATGGGTACTCTAAAAGCCCAGACTTCACCAATATGCAATACGTCCACATAACACAACTGTCCTTGCACTCCTAAATCTAGTTAGTTTCTAAAAAATAATATTGAGTTTTGACTTTCTGTTCCTGGGCCAGTGGTGGTTCCCACCAATAAGCATAGTTGACAAAGGAGGAGGAGATTTGAATGGGAGAGACGATGAGCTGGATTTGTCGAACTAAGTTGGTTTGACTGCAGGCAAGTCCCGTGGAGCCATCTGGAGGGTAGTTGAATACACTGGGCTACAGCACAGGAGAGAGTTAAAGTGGAAGATAAGGATTTGAAGAGTCACCAGCACAGAAGGGATAGTCGATGTTGTAGGGGAAAAAAAGAAAAAAGCATGCCTAAGGAGCATGGTGTGTGTAGAGTGTTTGCAGTACTGAAGAAAGAACCGTGTGGCAGATTCATCATGACTTTAATAAAGCCTAGGCTTCAGAGCACATCATTTGCATAAGCCTCTTCTGAAGGAATACTCACATTTCACTTAATTTTAATAATTTTATAATCTTCTACTTAAACAGGGCCCCCACATTGTATAAATAAATTTCAGAAAACCTGAATCGCCCTGTGAAGGTGGATCTGGGAAGAGGGGCCCACAAAGACGGACTAGTCAGAACAGAGCAAGAGGAGAACGTTGTCTCCGAAGCTGTGAGAGGAGAGGGTTTGAAGAGGAAGGTAGTGGCCAGCAGTGGCCAAATCACAAGGAGCGCAAGTCAGCAAGATCTGGAAGAGCCTTTGGTCTTTCCTGACAGTTCAGAATAAGAGAAGGGCCGATTCTTTTCTCCAACTGGAGGGCTGGTAGAGAGGCTTGCAGAAATTTAGGAAGTTGCAGGAGGTTGTGCTTGGTCGCCTTTGTTTCTTTTGAAAAGAATTAAAAACGAGAGGGGCATATCTGCTGGAGGAAGAGGAATGGAGGAAGGACCTTGAACAGGTTGCGGGGGTTCTGAATGGCCTTGGAATGAAAACAGAATGGAAACTGGCCAGAGCCACGAAACAGAGCAGCTGAGAAGCATCAGATACCTCCTTCACGCCTCAGTTTTTGTCTGTGAATGGGATTGGATTAGTTGACCAGGAAGCTCTCCCCTATCCTTTCCATCCTGAATTTATAAGAAAGAATGCCATAAAGCAGTGGTTCTCACTCTTGGTTGTTCAGTGGAATCACTGGGTAAGTCCCGCACCCAGAGATTCTGATTGATTTCAGCTGAGGTGAATCACTAACGATCCCCAGGTGACTCTAATGTACAATCAAGACTGAAAATCACTGCCTTAGTAAGATTACCTGAGGATATTCTATACTGAAAACATAAGAACCAACAAGGTAAGTTCTTCTGTGTTTAATATTTCAGCCTAAGGAGGTGGCTATTCCTGTGTCTGTCTGATTTTATTTATTTTGGACATGTGTTTGCTCTGAAGTCTAAAAGGTACCATGTATCATCAGCATCTTAACAACTAACTTGTGTGGATGTATACTACGTGGCAAACACATGAATTATCAAGTTTTCATCTCAAACCTATGAGGTAGGGATTCATATAATCCCCACTTTACAGAACAGAAAACTGAATCACAGAGAGAGTAAATAACTACCATGGCCACCTAGCTAGTAGCCCCAGATGGAGAATCATCTAGGCACAGTCAAAACCTTATGTACATTATCTCTCCTTTAATGTAACCAGGACTAACACATGGCTCACTAGAAACTATTTCAGCTATCTTGAATCACTTTCCAAAACTTCACAGAGAAGTTTTCCGGTCTCTCTTTCTCATGTGTTTAATGTTCCACTTAATTTGTTGATCACATATAAAAAGTAACTTGGAGGCTGGGTACAGTGGCTCATGCCTGTAATCCCAGCACTTTGGGAGGTGGAGGTGCGAGGATCACCTGAGGTGAGGAGATCGAGACCAGCCTGGCCAACATGGCAAAACCCTGTCTCTACTAAAAATACAAAAATGAGCTGGGCATGGTGGCGGATGCCTGTAATCCCAGCTACTCCGGAGGCTGAGGCAGGAGAATTGCTTGAACCTGGGAGGCAGAGGTTGCAGTGAGCCAAGATCATGCCACTGCACTCCAGCCTGGGTGACAGAGCAAGACTCCATCTAAAAAAAAAAAAAAAAAGTAACTTGGCATTTAAATTACTGTATGCTATAATACAGAATTGACTCTATAGCTGTTTAGGTGTGTCCAAAATGTAGAGCCTGTCTCCAAGTAGGTACATTTCAAGGTCAGGAGTATCTCCACCACTTATGCAGTAGCTCATTGCCTCTCTGCAAAGGTAGTGCAGACACTTCATAGAGTGTGCCTTCATAACAAGCCCTGAAATCACTTCCGTCCAGCTCCAGTTTGACAGCCAGGTGAGAGTTAGCCTTGGTCTGCCTTCTTAAACAAATTTCTTTAGCTGAACCTGTGGAATTGTAAGCAAGGTGAATAAAAAAACAAAATTTGCATGCTAACACAGTGCACAGGATTTAAAAAAAAAAAAGTTAAAAATGAAAAAAGTGAATCCAACTTAAGGACCAAGAAGTAGTTTGGTTTTTACCATAGGTAATGCCTGCATTGCTTTCTTTTCTAGCTTCTGTTTGTTTTGCTGGTGTTTCTTGTTTATTGCCTCCAATGTCATGTTTGTTGTTTTCATAGTTTTCAAGTGCTTCTTGCTGAGTTACAGATGTTATCATGTCTTTTCTCGTCTCTTCTAGAAAAATGTCTGTTGCTTCAAGTGCTTCCAAATCATCAGCCAAGCCGGACATGCCAAATGGGTGCCTGGGCAACCTATATAGAAACAACTCGTGTCAAACTGCATGAACAAATCTCAAGAACTGAGAGGCTCAACTCCCAATTGATATTGCCATGATTTGTAAGTTTTATGTTTGAGCATTTCCTAATGACTGTGTTATTGCATTAACTATTTTCTTAGCTTTGCAGACATGTTTGAACATTCAGAATGATATGTTTGGCATTATCAGTTTTACCCCTGGGATGGAATTCAGTCTTGGGGTGATATGGTAGAATTGAAATTTTTTACTTTTTGCCTTTAAACACTCATGTATTCTTTGAACTTTTTATATTGATTTTGTGTTACTCTGAGCAATAAAATATAAGAAGAGGGAAAATAAGAGCCGGGCATGGTAGCTCATGCCTGTAATCCCAGCACTTTGGGAGACCGAGGCAGGCAGATCACTTGAGCCTAGGAATTTGAGACTAGCCTTGGCAACATGGTGAAACTCTATACCTACAAAAAGTACTAAACCAGCAGGATGTGGTAGTGTGCGCCTGTAGTCCCAGCTACTTGAGAGGCTAAGGCAGGAGGATTGCGTAAGCATGGGAGGTCAGGGCTGCAGTGAGCCAAGGTTATGCCACTGCATTCTAGCTCAGGCAATAAAACAAAACCCTGTCTGAAGAAAAGAAAAGAAAGGCAATCCATACCAGAATTGTCAAACCCAGGAGCATCCCGGGCCCAGTGGTTTAGGTTAAGTTGAGGATTAGCATTGCCTGTGACCTTTCTTTGGGGAGAAAGTCTCTCCTCCCTTGGGGCAGGGGTATGGACCAATCTCAACCCTGTCCTCAACCCACCTGTTGGCAGGTGTAACTAATTGCAGCAGAGTGTCCCCACGGTGTAGACCCCCACATTCTTCAGTGAGCTCTGGGGGTGGGTACTGGTTCGTTCCACCTAAAAGTAAAATAAAAAATCAAATTAAATATCAAATAATATAAAATTCTAAAATAAAATAAACATAAAATAAAACAAAATATTCATAAAGACATCAAGTTCAAAACAAAATCAAAGAAAGCATAAAATAAAGTAAAATGTAAAATCAAACAAATGAAACAAAACAAAATAAAAACATGACAATATAAAAATAAAAGCAAATAAAACATTAACTTTTTTAATCCAGGAAGGCATAAAATCAAAGACAAAATATTTTCACATAAAGCATAAATATAAAGATAAAGGCAAATAAAATAAAATAAAACCATAAAATGTATCCTATTATATAAATAATACAAAGTAAAATCCAACCTAAAAGAATAACAAAATACAACCTAACGTAATACACATAAAAAATCAAGTAAAATTAAATTAAAACAGATTATAAAAGTGATTCCTTCAGGCTGCTTCTCCTTCAAAGAATCTCTAAGCCATCAGCCATCTGTTACCTTTCCCTACATATATAAGAAATCTAAGGTTCAGGGCCAGGCATGGTGGCTCACGCCTGTAATCCCAGCACCATGGAAGGCAGATGTGGGTGGATCACGAGGTCAGGAGCTCAAGACCAGCCTAGCCAAGATGGTGAAACCCCATCTCTACTAAAAATATAAAAATTAGCCAGGCATGATGGTGGGTGCCTGTAATCCCAGCTACTCGGGAGGCTGAGGCAGAGAATTGCTTGAACCCAGGAGGCGGAGGTTGCAGTGAGCCAAGATCGTGCCACTGCACTCTCCAACCTGAGCAACAGAGTGAGATTCTAACTCAAAAAAAAAAAAAAAAAATCTACTGTTCAGATATATTCATTGACTTCTCTAGGATCACACAGTTCACTAGTGGCAGAGATAGGACTGGAACAAATTCATTGATCTTTGTACCTCTCAAAGTGGAGAGGTACAAATACTGTGTTAGTACTTCTGAGATGTCCATCACACTCTCTTTATTCTTTTAGTGATGAAGGCGCAGGTGTCCTTCAAGGCTCCCAATGAGCTATCACAACTGCCTGTAAACTGAGAAACTAATGTCTCCCAGCAAGGACAAGGAGGCTTCACATGTTACAGCAAAGCACCCTGTACATAAGTTGAATTATGCACTGGAGGATGAAACCCAAGACAAACTGCTAACAATGTGACCAGGCTCATACCCTCACCATCCCATTTCTAGATCTACAGTATCATGCTAGGGATACAGATTTGGCTACCCATGAATTTAATTCATCTAGTTCTAAGAGAAAAACCAATAACAATTCCACTAGTTCTGATTGGAGGTGAGGATGCTCAAGCAGGGGATGGGGAACAATTCTGGCTAGGACGCACTGGCACAGCCCTCGCCCCTTAATCTTCACTGTTGGCTTCCTCCACCCAACCTGAGATGGAAGACCCAAGACTTTTGTCCTGTCCTCCTGACTTCCTAGTGGGTCCCTGAAAACCTGTGACTCCACACTGCCATGTCAACCTCTATTTGAAAATAAACATCATATGAGCTAGGATCATCAGTATCACTCTCAAGGCTGTAAGAAATGCAGACTCTTGTCGCTAACACAAACCTACTGAATCACAATCTACATTTTAACAAGATCCCCAGGAGATTCATGTGCATGTAAAAATTTAAGAAGCACTGTCAAATACTGTTGGAAACTGCAGTAATAAATAGTAATAACAATAACTATGCCTTATATGTGTACAATATTGGTGCTTTCAAAGCCCCTCCATGAACATATGGCTTCACGATTACAGAAAAGACTGCACCTTGACAAATGAGAAAATTGAAAAGTTATGTGTTAGTCTGAGGCTCCCAGTCATCAAATGAGAGGTTCAGGACAAGAAACCATCACTAGGCTTGACACAATGATAGGGTGACAATAGTGCAGGGTTTTCAGGAAATGGGGTGCTCCCTGGTGCTCCCCAGAGATGCTGGGCTACAAACATTTAGGCAATAGTGAATGTGCAACAGGCACCTGCCTGCCCAAATGCCAGGGTCTGTAAATTCCTCTCCCCACTCCACCCGAGGTGCCCCAGTACCAGGGACTGCTCACTTTTTAGGAGGCTCAGGAAGGCCCGAGTGAATCTCCGAGCGTAGGTGACCTCTGGCTCTGAGACTCCTTGTAGGCGCAGTAGATGCTGCTCGGAGGGGGCACTGACCACGGAGGCCAGCTCGGCTAGCTCATCGGTCCCCACACCTGGACCCAAGGCCAGCACAAAGAGGGTGATGCCCTTGCATTTGGCCTCCAGGGACAGAGTCCATAGCTTCTCCCTGTCCCAGCTACTTGTCTCGCTGGCCACGATGGCAAAGAGGACTCGTGCCCTCCGCGGCAGAGGGGCTGCCAGGAGCACATTCTGCAGCGTCCACTCCAGGGCGTGGCCTAGGGTGGGAGTTCCCCGTAAGGGGCGACCTGCAGCCTCAAGGACATGTCTCTGCATCTGCATCCGGTGGCCATAGGTGGTCAAGTGGAAGTGCTGCAGCACAGGGAGGTGACCCACACCCGGCCAGAAGTTGGGTGTCGTGTGTGTCACCAGGGCCACGCGTGCCCCATGGTGGGACGTGCCTGGCTGCTCAGCCACCTCCAGGTCTTCTAGCGCAGCGTCCACTAGACTCAAAGACCAGCGGTACACGTCGGCATCCACACCATAGGAGCTGTCCACCACAAACACCAAGTCCACGTCCACCTCCTGGGGCCCCGGCATGCCAGCCGGGCATTCCAGGTCAGGTCTGCATTTGTCTAGGAAGGAAGTGCAGGGAGAAACCAGAGTTAAACCATGCATCCCTTTCTTTTCCATGCAAAACACAGTTCCCCACAATAAGGACAGCTGTCACTAAGCACTTGAGGCATTGTGGTGAGGTGGCAAGCCAAGGCGCATTGTAAATGAGCTCATTTCTCAAAAGAAGAATTGAGATTGATTGCACACTTAATGTTTTCAGCCGCTAGGCCGTATATGGCTTCCCAGTCTCTGTGTTCATAGACATCACCTCTATTTCCTCCTCAAAAAAAAATTACATTCTAATAATAGATTATAATCTAACAACAGATAAATCAACAGTAGTAGGAAACCATGTAAACAAAATTGATTGCCAGAGCTGGGAGTGACCTTAACAACCATATGAAAGTGCCTTTTTTAAGATTGAAAAAAAAAAGATCAAACACTGCCAATTTTAAATGAAAAGCTATAGTCTTAGAGTTCTCAAGCTGGTTCAGCATCAAATGGCATGTAGAATTTTTTTTCTTTTTTTACTGTAGATTTCCAGGTTCCAGTCATATCAAGATTCTGGTTTGATAGTGTTGGTATGACCTTAGAATCTACCATTGAAATGTATGCAGCTATTCTGATGAACAGTGGTGTTAGGGACCCACTGCTGGGGCAAACTGGTAGGAGCAGGTGTTTTTAACCTGGGAACCACAGTCCCCCAAGGGGTCTGTGAATGAGGATTGGAAAAAAATTACATCTTTATTTTCACTACCTCTGTTGAAATGAAATTCAACATTTCTTTTTACTGTGCATAAAGACAACAAACCACTATAATACTAGTGATTCCAACACCAGTAGAAATGACTGATTTCTTTATCAGTGGTTACAAACAGCTCCATGTTATTTGCACTCACTAATACTTTGAAATAATAGTTATTAGACCTGCTAGATCTTATCATTTAAAATGCTAATAAAGAAACCCATGACGAGTGGGTTAAAAATGTGGTATTTATATATATAAATACATATATGTTGTGTATATATATATATTATATATACACATACACATTATATATATACACATATACATTATATATACATATACATTATATATATATATATATACACACACACACACACACACATACACACACACACACATATGTGGAATACTATTCAATCTTTTTAAAAAGCAGAAAATTCCATGATTTGTGATGTGGATGAACCTAGAGGACATTATGCTAAGTGAAATAAGCCAGGTACAGAAAGACAAATATTGCATGATCTCACTTGTATGTGGAATATAAAAAAATCATAGAAATAGACAGTAGGCAGCGAGCAGGGAGGTGAATGGGGAAAGGAGATACATTAGTCAAAGGGTACCAAGTCTCAGTTAGACAGAAGGATAGGTTCTGGTGGTCTGTTGCACCACACAGTGTTAGAGTTAATAATAATGTATTGTATATTTCAAAATGGCTTTTAAAAGTGGATTTTAAACATATTTACCATACACAAATGATAAGCATTTGAAGCAATTATTATGTTAATTGGCCTGATTTTATCATTTGACAATGTATACACACATTGAAACATCACTGTGCCCCATAAATTTATATAATTATTCTTTGTCAATTTAAAATAAAATAAAACTTTAAAAATATATATAACTATATGAAATTTTTTAAGTATTTTGATAATTTGAATGTAATCATTTTCCTTTGTAATTCTCTGGTTTTTATTTTATGCATTGAAAAACATTATTCTTAGGAAAGCATAAGTTTAACCAGGAGGGATCTATGATACCAAGAAAAGTTAAAAAGTCCTAATTGAGTCATTAGCAAAGCACAGGGGTAGTAGTCAAGAGTTCAGCAACCAGGCTGCCTGGTTCGATCTGGGTCTATTTCTTACTCAGCATGTAACCTTGGGTAAATTACTTAATCTCCCCAGAATCTCAGTTTCCTCATTTGTCACATAGAAATAATGATGATGATAATAATAGTACTTACCTCTTGAGGTCGTTTATGAGGTTTAAAAGAAAAAATGAGTTTATATATATGTAAGTGTTCAAAACAATGCCTGTTGCATAGTAAGACCTCAATAAACACTAGGTTTCTACAGGACAGGGAACTGAGGCCCAAAGAGGCAATATGTCAGATGAGACGGATGTGAAAGGAGTTCATCACCTGTGACATACTCACAAATGGTAGTTGCTACACTTGGCTTGACCAAGCTGTCATAGCCAAGCCTCTTGTGGTAGTACTAGGCTTAGAGTGGATCAAGGAGAGAAAACAATGACATCCCCTCAAGTTTGCCCACTTTGGTACTGGGTAAAATGGGTGTGGACAGGAACTCTTCACATGTCGGCATGCATGTGTTTCAGCAGAAATTTCTCTTCAGTGCAGGCTGGGGTGGGATATAGCAATGGGGGTTGGGAACCAAGACAAACTGGATGACTGGCCAGTATCCCACTGCTGGTCAATGGTGGTTCCAGGCCTAGAACTCATCACTCTTAATTCTTAGTTCAGTGGTCTGCCCATCACACTAAGGTACACTAAGACAGGAACCACAAGCCCAGCCAACCCCAGCAACTAGCAGGACAGATAAATGAGCAGAACATGCCAGGAGTAAGATGGGAAGGGGTGAGGACTGTGAGTCACTAGAGACACTCACCCCATTAGAGGGGTCAGGCCAACTCAGCTCTGCTGACTGTGCTTCATGGGAATGCCGTGTCTGTGACTCTCAAGACAGGTCTGACTTCCTAAGAAAAACTAGAAATCTGCCTTAACAGGAAATTCCATAGACTTTAAAAGTAAATACACAACTGCCAACAGAGCTAGCCTGTGGCCACCAGTGAATTCGTCCTGTTCTAAAGGCTGTCCTGGCTTACCGTAGCAGAGAACACAGCGGGCCACATGTTCCACATCCTGCTGGTGCTCTGTCTTCCAGACGAACAAGTAAAATCTGTTGGTTCCATCCATCTAATCCAAACACACACACACATTCAAGTTGATAATTAGCTGGAGTAATTTCATGCCTTCTTTTCCATGTGTTTTCCCATTCAGATGAGAAAAACATGAATATAATTTTTAAAGAATATATAATTATATAAATATATGTACAAATAACTCAGCATTGTATGTTCCAGTTATTTATAGCTATTTAGTTTCCTAGCTCTAACCTGAAGGTTGCACTGTCACTGGTGTGGGCATGTGTATCGTGGGTCTTCAGGCTCCCAATATGTGTAAAACTCAGGCAACATCATTCATCGGAATGGGAGTAAGGAGACAAGGTTAAATCATTTGTATATAACTTCATAATCTTTATTGTTATTAATAACTTCATAAATCTTTGTTAATTGTTCACAGGATGCAGTGTGGTGGGAGCTATTGACCTGAATGGCAGACTCTTAAAGGTGCAGTCATAAATGTCAAATACCACTAGGATGGAAACAGCAGACACCACGTGGGAGGCCCTGCTAGAGTATTCCTGGTGGTCAGAGATAGACATATCACAGCCAGGATGTAAGAGTGAAGAGGGATCAGGGAAGGCTTTATAGAGATGGTAAATCAGTTTATCTCCTTTACTTAGCCTTTTCAATTATGATTGATTTAACAACTAATAACAAGGCTTAAAAGCAAAATATTAACAATAAATCCAACAAGGTCCATGGGTCAACTGGTTAGATGATCAGTAAAACCCTTCCCTCTTCTTCCTAGGGCAGAGCTGGGCTACATTTCCCAGCCCCTCTTGCAGTTAGGTGGTGCCTACTGACTGGTGTCTAGCCAATGGGATGCAGGTGGAAGTAATGTATGTCATTTCCAGTGCATGCACTATATTCCATTACTCCCTTTCCCCTCAGCCACCAGTCAGGTGTAGAGGGCCCAGAAAAAGGTTTTGAGGCCTTAGGGTATAAGGGGGCCACTGACAGAAGCACAGGTCCTGAAACAGCGACATGCAGCAAAACATGCCTTCTCCCACAGAAACATACGCAAGGGCCCACATCCACTTATGACAGGTGGCAGAAATAACCGTTTATTATGTGAAGACACTGCTACTTGGAAAAAATGGTTTCACAGTTGACCTGCTCTGACTTATATGGACAATTTGCAGAATGTCCAACTCATGATGAAACTAGAAGTGCTTTCAGATTGCTTCTCTCAAGATTTGAGGTATGGTTTACAAAGAGGTGGATGTCTAAGCTTAGTCATGTCCACCTTTGTATCTACTCTCTGCCAAAGCATGCAAAAAAGGGCCCCGCTGAGGGTTAGCTTCTCCTCCTTCATCTGTGTGCCCAGGAACAAGCAGGCTCTGCGCCCTCCTCCAGGTAGCGAGATGGTGAGGAAATGAAGATGTTAGGCTAGCCCTCAGGAAGATAGACAGTCAAGGGTTAATTTGCAAAAGAATTTTCTTAACATTACAGAGCTTTTCACTCTTTCTGTTTGGGACCATAATGTATCCCAAACATTGTCTTTCAGAGTCAGCTTACTTGAAGAAAAAGTCCTAGTGGGAAAAGAAATATGAAGAGTTGAATATTTACATTAACGTAACACAAAAAACCATGGGAACAGTCCTAAGTCTCCTAAGAATAAAGGCAAAAAGCATCTTCTCTTGTTCCTCATATGGTAAAAGCAACCTTAAATTATGCTTTTTCCTAACTTAGAAATCCAAATCAATCAATACTGATTAAACAGTTACTACATGAAAGCATGAACAAGCCATTTGGAGATACAAAGATAACGTGGCCACATCTTCAAGGAGATTAAAATCTGAGTGGAAAGAATTTTGAAACAAGAAAGAGCACCAATAATATATTTTAGGAGCACAGGAAAAGGAGCTTCATTTCAAAGGAGAGGAACAGAGGAAACTTGATGACAATTATGGCATCTGGCACTTTTAAGAGAACGAGTCCCATACTTAACTGGCAAAGAGGCAGGGAAATGCATTCTAGTGTGAAGGAGCAGCAGGCACAAAGGCCCAGAAGCGGACTGTGCTTATCTCTGGAATTCTGCTCAATGCTCCCACTCCCACAGGTCAGCGTACACCCACCTCTAATATGCAGCCGTATGGCGCACATCTGTGGAACTCCTTGCCACATGGAGAAAGCTGGCATGAAAAGTGAGTGCAGTGCTGCCAACATGTTCATCAGATCTGAGTACTGACCAAGCCAAATGGATCTAATTAATCACCAAGGATTGAGAAAACAGTGTAGGCAGGAATATGACACATTGCTAGCCATACTGGAAATCACACAAGGCAATCTGGAAGGCTTCTGAACCCAGAATCCATGGCAATGTGTCAGGAGATATGAAGAGGCTGGGATAACCCCGGGTGCATCAATTTTACTTCAACAGTTGTAGGGAAATGCTAATTTTGTGTACATTATTTTTTAAGCACAGGAAACATGGGTGAAGTATATTATAAAATGCAAAATTTCAGTGACTTTTTTAAGTAGTATGAAAGACTTCAAACAACTTTGAACATTCCCCCAAGTATGTGCAAATTCATACTCCTTTGTCTTAGAGATGGTTCACAGGGAAAGTTCTGTGCAGCACTAACAGATTAGAGGTCAGCAACCTGGGTCCTAGTCCCTCATCTGCCATAATTGGCTATGTGGTCTTGGATAAACCTCTGGCCTCAGTTTCCTGAGCAACAAAGTTTTAGGGAAAGAGTCAATGTCCCTGAGTTTTCTTCCTTTTCCAACACAGCCTGGTCTTAGGTTACAACCTTCTCTATTTGCTTCTTGATCAGAACAATGTGCCAACTTTTCTACTTTGAACAGCTCAGGGCACATAACTCTTCTGTTATTCCTTTAATATTTGCTGGAAAACTACCAAATTCAACTGAATTTGGACAGTTATCTTTTTAAAAACTTTTCTAACAAAAAATAACTTTATGATCATGCTTAAAATTTGCACTGTTCAAGGCCCTGGTGGCAACGCCACACATCTACAACCATCTGATCTTTGACAAACCTGACAAAAACAAGCAATGGGGAAAGGATTCCCTGTTTAATAAATGGCATTGGGAAAACTGGCTAGCCATGTGCAGAAAGCAGAAACTGGACCCCTTCCTGACACCTTACACTAAAATTAACTTCAGATGGATTAAAGACTTAAACATAATATCTAACACCATAAAAACCCTAGAAGAAAACCTAGGCAAAACCATTCAGGACATAGGCATAGGCAAGGACTCCATGACTAAAACACCAGAAGCATTGGTAACAAAAGCCAAAACAGACAAATGGGACCTAATTAAACTCCAGAGCTTCTGCACAGCAAAAGAAACAATCATTAGAGTGACCTGGCAACCAATAGAATGGGAAAAAATGTTTGCAATCTACCCATCTGACAAAGGGCTAATATCCAGAATCTACAAAGAACTAAAACAGATTTACCAGAAAAAAACAAACAAACCCATCCAAAAGTGGGTGAAGGATATGAGCAGACACTTTTCAAAAGAAGACATATATGATGCCAACAAACGTATGAAAAAATGTTCATCATCACTATTAGAGAAATGCAAATCAAAACCACATCGAGATACCATCTCGCGCCAGTTAGAATGGCGATCATTAAAAAATCTGGAGACAACAGATGCTGGAGAGGATGTGGATAAACAGGAAGACTTTTACACTGATGGTGGGAGTGTAAACTAGTTCAACCATTGTGGAAGACAGTGTGGCAATTCCTCAAGGACCTAGAAACAGAAATTCCACTTGACCCAGCAATCCCATTACTGGATATATACCCAAAGGATTACAAATCATTCTATTATAAAGACACATGCACATGGATGTTCAAAGTGGCACTGTTTACAATAGCAAAGACCTGGAACCAACCCAAATGCCCATTGATGATAGACTGGACAAGGAAAATGTGGCACATATACACCATGGAATACTATGCAGCCATAAAAAATGATGAGTTTGTGTCCTTTGTAGGGACATGGATGAATCTGGAAACCATCATTCGCAGCAAACTGACACAAGAACAGAAAATCAAACACCGCATGTTCTCACGCATACGTGGGTGATGAACAAGGAGAACACATGGACACAGGGAGGGGAGCATCACACACTGGGGTCTGGTTGGGGGGCCAAGGGAGGGACAGTGGGGGTTGGGGAGGTCGGGAAGGGATAACATGGGGAGAAATACCAGATGCAGGTGACGGGGGATGGAGGCAGCAAACCACATTGCCATGTGTGTACCTTTGCAACAATCCTGCATAATCTGCACATGTACCCCAGAACTTAAAGTACAATAAAAAAAAGAAAGAAAGTTGTACTGTTCTTGCAAAAAAAAAAAATTGTGAGAACAAAAACAGGTAAGCTATGATTTAATACAGATTCATCTGTACCTAGTTGTTATTAATAAACATTTAATTACTTCAACTTTGGACTTGCCAGCACAGTCCTTGTCACTGATAAAATAGACAAGATATTTCCTGAGA